CAGCGATATGGGGGCGGTACCTCCACTGCGTCGCTCGGGGTGACGGTATGAAGGACGAACTTCACAATAACAGGCACCACGTCCAGGTCCACTGCGGACAGCGTAGACATGACCCAATGGCGGACCTGCAGAGGGAGAAGGTTATTGGTGAACAGCCAATGAGAGGCCAGGGATGCGGCTGACACCTCCCACTGGGCGGGTACCTCTGTCAGGAGCTCGGCGTTCAGGTTCAGGCTGGAGAAGGCGTCTAGAATGGTGACCGTGAGCTGCGAATTCTGCTGGAGGAGGGAGCTGAACACACAGATCATTACTAAGGCAACATACATGACCTACGTCACATGACCTGACCCCGCCTCCTCCCCACCAGGAAACAGCTCCACAAATCTGTGGATTGGGGACATAACAATGACAAGCCCACCCAATCACTGCACTGCGCTCCCACCAAGATGGCAGAGAGGAGGGACGAGGACAAGGGGCGGAGAGGAGGGACGGGGAGGAGGGGCGGAGAGGAGGGGCGGAGACGAGGGATGGGGACGAGGGATGGAGACGAGGGATGGGGACGAGGGGCGGAGACGAGGGATGGGGACGAGGGGCGGAGACGAGGGATGGGGACGAGGGGCGGAGACGAGGGATGGGGACGAGGGGCGGAGACGAGGGATGGGGACGAGGGGCGGAGACGAGGGATGGGGACGAGGGGCGGAGACGAGGGATGGGGACGAGGGGCGGAGACGAGGGATGGGGACGAGGGGCGGAGACGAGGGATGGGGACGAGGGGCGGAGACGAGGGATGGGGACGAGGGGCGGAGACGAGGGATGGGGACGAGGGGCGGAGACGAGGGATGGGGACGAGGGGCGGAGACGAGGGATGGGGACGAGGGGCGGAGACGAGGGATGGGGACGAGGGGCGGAGACGAGGGATGGGGACGAGGGGCGGAGACGAGGGATGGGGACGAGGGGCGGAGACGAGGGATGGGGACGAGGGGCGGAGACGAGGGATGGGGACGAGGGGCGGAGACGAGGGATGGGGACGAGGGGCGGAGACGAGGGATGGGGACGAGGGGCGGAGTGGAGACGGGGATGAGGGGCGGGTCACACACCTGAGCTCCTTAGCGACATCATTGTGGTCGGAGTCCTCCAGGATTTCGGGGAGGCTGCTGATGATGTGTTGCTGGACGTCAGCCGGGGAGGCGAGAACCAACTGCATGATCTTAGAGGTCAGCTCCTGGACAGAGGGCGGAGATAACAGGTTACGCCCCCTCATTGGTGCTCCAATCAGAAGGACCGGCCCCGAGTTGCCAGCCCGCTCATGTAGGGCCTG